CACGGGTACCCGGCCAGGGGGCGCCGGTAGCTCGGACACTCGGAGGGACGCGCCGGTTCCCGCCCCGCCCCTTCTCTGCCTCAATCGGCGCCGCCTGGGTTTCCCCAGCTCGCCTGCAGCTCGGCTCGGAGTCCTCCTGCTCCCGGTGAAGGTGGGGAGTAGGGGTGGTGTGAGCAGAGAGGGATCCCAAATGTGACGCGCCTGGGTTTTGGGCGCCCAAGGAGGGGTGCTCGAATAGGTCTGCGGAGCAAGTCTGGAGGGGCGTTGCTTAGCTTTCGCCTCTGTCTCTGAGCCCCAGTCTGTGTTAGCGCCCTGGGTATTTATCTAGACGCTGAGAGGTAAAGGAGGAGAGGGCCGGTGGCAGCTTGGAATGGTAAGACCTGGGCAGCATCCTGCAGTGTATCCGGCTCAGGTAATTGGGCTGGTATAAGATGCTACTCACAACTACTTTTACTTTCTGTGTGTGTGTGTGTGTGTGTGTGTGTGTGTGTGTGTGTGTGTACGCTCGCGTCTGTGTCTGTGTGTTGTGGTGGGAGGGAGAGGGAAAAAAAGGTAACCTAAGGGAAAATTCGAGGCAAGAGAGCTGAGAGCTCTCAGCTTTCGGGGAAAAGGGTCTGTTTGCTTATTGGGTGGGGACAGTATAGCAGAGGGAAACTGGGAGAGGTATGTAAGAAATCCAGAGTGTGCCTATGCAACTGGACGCCTCACAACTCCACTCTGACGACAATTGGGGCCAGGCTTGTTGAGGACCAGACCCAGGTAAGTAGCAGGCCGATTAACCTGGAGTTAACCTCGTCCAGTGCTAGACAATCGCTTTTGCAATTTGATACACCCCAGGTTTTTTGGAGGGGGGTGCACCTCTGGGGTAACAGCGGGAGGTGAGTTTGTCAGGCGGGTGATCAGAGACTTTAGAGGCAGCTGGAATATCCCTAAACAGACAACCCCAACTCCTCAAAAAGAGAAATGAAAGATGAGCGCACGCCAGCGGACCTATCGGTTTAGACGTGCGAAAGCTTGGCTTGAAATTAATAGACGCGTGCAGTCAGCGCGCGTGAACACACACACACACACACACACACACACACACGCACACACACACACCACCGCGCCCAGTCGGGGGGCCGAGGTACAGGAGAGGGACCCGTATGGAGGGTTTTGAGACATTCCTTTCCTGGGATCACTCCATGCCTCACAGTCGGACCATCTCTTTGGGGGTGGGGTGCTTGTCCAATCGGGTGGGGTTCACTTCAACCAATGGGAGATCCTTAGAGACAAAATCTCTTTTGCCTGTTTATTGTCTCCACATTTTAAGGGTTAACTGTAGCGGTGGTCCAGGCTTTAGCCGAGAATTTAGAAAATAAAATAACTCAAGTGGGCAACGGTTCCCGCCTGTTTAAGGCAAAGCCTCCTCCTCATCGTTCCCATCCTGTTTCCTGATCTGCCCCTCCCCCATGTCCCTTGTCCTTTTTCTCAATCCCACAAGGGCCCTTGCGGGTGTGGTGCAGCCAGCACAGAAGTTAGAGAGGCACCCTTCGCCAGGGTATCCGCGCCCCTGGGGGTCAGATCCCCGGGGAGGAGGGAACCGGCTTGCTTAAGGGGTTAAAGTGAACCCTCCGAATCCGGTGTTTTTTTCTGAGTAATTTATCAGATTTTACGGGGGACCTCCAAGGGCTCTCGGTTTCCACTAAGCACCATCTAAACAGAGCCCAGGGCTAAAAATACATTTTTGTATAAATTGGACTCGCGGCCCGAACGGCCGCCCCTATGAAAGTCCTCTTTGTGAAGGCCGTGGAAACGGCGGACAAATAACTCTTTATTAAAGCCACAAAAAACGCACTTTAATTATAGTTAGGCAGATCAGAGGCGGGGGTGAGGGGCGAGGCGGCGGCGACCTCGGAAAATTCACAACCCAACTTTTGTGTCGAAAGAAAAGAAAAACAGAGGCAAAGACGGGAGAGGAGAGACGGAGTGAGACCGACCGAGGGAGACTGCGCGGCAGACGAGGACAGGAACCCCGCTCTGCGCCCCCCTCTGCCGCACCCCACCTCCGCCCGACTTCTCTTAAAGGAGCCGGCGCCGTCTAAAACGGCGTCTGGAAGGGGGCGTCCCCGACTCAGCTCCTCCAGGTGGCGCGGGGGATCCCGCCTCGCTCCCTGTCGCGCGCCGGGCTCGGCGGCATGTGGAAAAGCCATTAGGAATCTGGGTTCTGTAGTCACTTTTCGCATCTGGGGCGTGTTCACTTCTAACTGGAGTATACTTTCCCTGGGAGAAAGCAAAGTGTGTGTGTGTGTGGGGGGGTGTCAACCTGGGAAAGGGGAGCTTTCTATCTCTCGGTGGAGGGAGCCGAAGTGTTCCTGGGGGGACCACGACGCAAGGCGGGAGCCGGGTCCGCAGTTCTGCAGTCCGGCGGGAGAGACTGGACAGGTGGCTTTCTGCCCCTTTGCACTCGGTGCACCCTGGCTGGAGAAGGGTTAAGGCGGGTTGGGTGGCGAATGCGATGAAGGTTTCCGGCACCACAGGCCTCTAGCTGTGGAGTGCAGGATCTTGGGGCCCCAAGATCCGGTTACCTGCGCGGATCACCGCGCCCCATCCCACTGCCGCTCAGAAGCACCTTCCTGATGCTCCAGTTCCAAATTTCAGGGCGGTGACGAAAGTCCGTCCCAGTTATTCCCAGGACAAATGCTTCAGGAGAGTCGTGGCTCTGGGCCCAAGACTCCACCCTGCGGAGCCCAAGAAGGGCCACACCGGAGCAGAGAGGAAACTCCAACCCCCATCTCTGGGGACAGCCTCCGGGCACGCACAGCTCGCCGCTATAAATAATCTTTGGCCTGCGGCCACCCCGCGGGGTCTCGCCAGCCCGTGGCCTGGAGCCTGGAAATATTTATTCCGAGAGGCTCCGCGGCGCAGGGGTGGGGGATCAGGCTCCAGCTTCAGGCCCAGCCGTCGGGGCTAGCCCCCCCCCCCCAAAGTCATTACTAAAAGCATCTTTCTGTGGGTGCCCCTGCATCTTCGTCCTCCCGCATTATTTATTACCCTCCAGGCCCCAGTTCCCAGTCCTAATGCACGCCGTGAAAAATAAAACCCTGAGAGGCTTCTGGTGTATTCCTTCAGGGTTCCGGCTTCCAGTCGTCGCGCCGGGAGAAGTACGGCAATGTTTTCAAGACACACTTGCTGGGGCGGCCGCTAATCCGCGTGACCGGTGCGGAGAACGTGCGCAAGATCCTCCTGGGAGAACACCAGCTAGTGAGCACCGAATGGCCACGGAGCGCACGCGTGCTGCTGGGCCCCAACACGGTGGCCAATTCCATTGGCGACATCCACCGCAACAAGCGCAAGGTAAGAGCTCAGACCCTTGCCTTAGGACTATCTTCCACTGGCAAGGAGCACAGAAATCTGAGCTCCTCTGCCTAGAAGTTTCCTGCTCGAATCCGGACTAGGATCGGGCCTCCTCTTGATGCACCCATGCTGGCCCACTGAGCGGTGGGTACCACTAGGGTCAATGGAGCCTGGTCTGGACAAAGCTTGTACATGTGGGGTCTGCCGTGATAGATGTGGTTGCTCAGTACACCACTCTAAT